TTTGCTTGATAATTCAACTACGCTTGTTGGAGAACTATAAAAACACTACACTCAACAAGCCACCAATAAAACTCAACTGCCTAACCTATAACCAAAGTCTCCTTTTAATTTGTTTTTAATAAAAAGCGCTTCACAAACTTGTCCCGTATGCCTAAGTTGCCTCGGTCTCCCCTAATATTTTCATGATATTTTAATTATTTACCTTGTAGTTTTAACATAGGTTTTTTTGTGCTTTCCCGCTTTGAGTATTTGCATTAACTTAGCTCTATCTGTATTAAATGTAATTTTGCACTCTTCCCCAGTTTTTAATTTTACGAAGGATTGATTTTGCTTTGTTTTCTAGTGCTTTAATGTTATCAGTAACGACTGAAACGAGAGTGTCATCAGCAAAGCAAAACATTTCGCAATGTGCTGGTAGTTTGATATCGAATATTGTGTACATTAGGATGTTCCAAAAGCCTGGCCCACAGGCAGAGCCTTGGGAGCAGCCTAGGGAGACATTCCTGATGTAAGTGTTATTGTTGTGTTTTAGTGTTGTGCATCTGTTTTTAAAGTAACTGACTGTCACATCACATAAGTTTTTTGGGCAGTAATATCTACGTAATATGTGAAGTATTTTGGGAATCCAGGCACGATCAAACGCCGCAGACATGTCAAGGGATATTACTAAACAGTAATCTTTATTATCTTGACTATTTTTAATTATTTTGGTAACTGCAGATAGGGCGTCTACAGTACTACTTTGTGGGGTAAAACCAAATTGTTTTCTATTAAGTGTGTTATTTTTGTGAAGGTGATAATTAATTCTGTTTATTAGTAACTTTTTCAAGATTTTTCCAATAACTGGTAAGAGACTGATCAGCCTGTAGTTTTTGGGTTCACTAAGAATTTGGATGGCAGGTTTTGGAATTAATTTGCATATTGCCATCTTCCAGGTATTTGGAAAGATAGCTTGTTGTAGACAGCTATTGTAGATATTGTGCTAGATATCGAAAGTTATTTGGAATATGTTCCTTACTATCTCTGGAAGAATCCCATCTTGCCCAGGTGCCTTTTTGTTCTGAAGTGTTTTTATTACATTTTGGACCTCATGTATCTGAAACAGGGAGTCATTATCCCCAAGATATTGTTGATTAATGCAGAGACGAATTGAGCTATGGCTGCTATTGTCTGTGTTTTGCTCATCCTTGGGTAGAAGTAGTCAAGTATTGTTTTTGCTTCATCCTCGCTAGCCATACATTTATTTCCGTATTTATGTTCTGTTGGTTGATATTGCTTTGGTGTTTTAGAAATTTATATACTTTGCCCCATGGGTTCTGAATTCCTACATCAGTACAGAATTCTTTCCAAAAGTGTGCTTTAGATTGTTTAATCAATTTCTGGTACTTATTCCTTAGCTGGGTATATGCTTGTCTTAGTGTCTCTCACTGGGATTGTTGTTCACAGCGTTGGTATTTTCGCCTCGCATTATTTAATAGTCTCCTTTGTAAGGTTAGTTCACAAGTCCACCAGGGAACTGATTGTTTATGTTTGGTGTATGTAGGGATATTTTTATCAGAGCAATATATGATTTTCTTTGTGTATTTCTTGACTATTTCGTTAATGAGTAGGTCTAATTGTAAATTATGTCTAATGCTTTGAGCTTCATTATTGTAATCCAAGTTAAAGTTATCCCGAATTGCCCTGTGTATATTATATTTTTTTAGTTATTGCTGTGTTCCTTTGATGTAGCTGTCCTATGAGAAGACTAAATGTATTATATCTGTGTCCAGATAGTGTTTCTGTTAGTAGTGTTGAGCAATCTGTAATATGGTGGCCTATGTTCCCAGTGGTTAGTGTGAGGTCGATATGACTAGAACCTTGGTGGTTATAGAAAGTAGGCGGGCTTTTGTTTTGTAATGTAATGTTGTTGTTCAGTATAAATTCGAAAAGTTCTATGTCACGGCTGTTTTCCACCCTGTTCCACCAGGCTGTAGATCTGCAGTTTGAGTCTATTCCTATTAGTAGTGGGTAGTTTGCTTTTGTTATAAGGTATTTTATGTTTGGAATCTGCTCGTTAACATTGCCACTTGGTTGAAAATAAGTGGAGTTTATTAATAATTTTGAATTATTAATTTCCAAATAAACTGTAGTCATTATCTCATTGCTGAGCTTTTCTATTAAAGTAGCCCGAAGTTCAGGGTTGCAAACAACAATGGCTGTGTATTGATTCTTTGTGTGTATTTTGAATTGATGGGGAAAACCCTTGATCTGATCTGTATGGTATGGTTCTTGAATTATTGCTATATCTGTATTGTTTTCTGTGATATATTTTACTAGGTGGTCCGTAGCTCTAGATCCTCTAAGTTGATTTGTATGAGGTTAATTGAGTTTTTCTTTAATATTCGCATACTATTGCTTTAGCTACCTCACACTGGTATTTAAAAACAGAACACTTGTGATTTCTGGCTCCATGATTGGTATTTACTCTATCTTGCTCCCTTTGGCATGATTTGTTATATTTCTCGCAATTGATGCATTTTAACTCGTGTGACTCACACTCACATTCACGTGCATTATGACCCGCTATTGAGCAGTCAGGGCAGTGAATCCCAGCGTTACATTCCTTTCCAAGATGTCCATAAAGAAAGCACTTGTTACAGCGCTTGAAGTTATAAAAGTCTCTTATCTTTGAGCTGTTCCAGCCTATTGAAATTATGTCTCCATTGTCCTTTAATTTCCTGCGACAAGATGGCATTAGTTCCATCACCCAGGCACACAATTCAGTGTGCTTGTCTTTGTTGATGGGAAAGAGTGGTCTGAAGTTGTCATCTTGCAGCTCTGTGTTATATATCATAAAGTTCTTTTTGACATATGTGTTTTTCCAGCTCAAAAGTATTTTGTTTATTGTAATCCTTGGATTTTGGTTTCTCGGCGCCTTTGCCTCGAATTTTTAGAATTGTTTATTTCAGATTTTAATCTCTCTTCTTTTTCCTTGGAGCTGCATCTCAGTATAACTCCACTTCTTATTTGTCTCATATCCTTGACACCTGCTTTTATTTCTTAAATATCGATTGTTTTTTTTTGGATGATAGAAAACCGTGCTTTACAATTTGTTTATTCTTCTAACACAATAAAGTGCTATAAATTAAGACACTTGGTGGGTTTTCTCATCTTTATTTAGTTGATCAACTAAATAAAGATGAGAAAACCCGCCAAGTGTCTTAATTTATAGCACTTTATTGTGTTAGAAGAATAAATAAATCGACTGTCTTTTTTAGTTCTTCATCCATCTCGGTTGGTTTTATTCCTGATTCCTTTGGAAACATCATTATATCTGTGAGGGTCAAACAAAACTTTTCTAAAGTGTTATTTTAAATTTTAATTATTTGAAACTTTAATCAGTTAAATTCGAACGTTTTATCGAGTTAGGCTAACAGCCATAAAAATTAATTCCCACGGAGTTTGTTCCTTGTTGATCAAAGGATCCAGTTGGTCAGGGATGTGTCACCAGGAACTTTTGATGGACAGCCTATATTGGACACCAGACCCTTAATAACAACCACCTGACCTGATAAAAAAACCCCAAGAGGAATTACAAAGAAAAAACGGACAAACCGAAGAAGTCAGTCGTCATCCAAAGTCCGCCACAAGGAGTCGTCGTCCAAAGTCCCCCACAAGAATTTGTCGTCCAAAGTCCGCCACAAGAATTAAGACCGTGACCCAGGATTAAGATCGTGCCTGGTTAAACCTCTACTCTCCTCCGTGCCTCCACACCAGTGAACAGACAAGATTCTGAACGAGTGGAAAGAACATTTCATTGACAAGGTATTTATCACCCCGCAGATCGGTTGTAAACTCTCTCTCTCGACAGGCCTATATTAAATAGGGAAACTATGACCGAAATTGACTCTTTCTGTATTTTCTGTAGTTTTATTAAATTTGTTATTTGTTAGAAAATATGGAGTCCGAGTGAGTCACTTCCTCGTCTCTCCCCTCACCTCTACTCCGAATCCAACCGCTCACCCTCTACCGCTCGCGTGACGAAAAGTCGCGATTTCCGAGTCCTGCGAGACTCGGTGGTGTCACATCCTAACATGGTGTCAAAGAGACACCGACCATACGGTCACAGTGGTGTCAGAACAGAATCAGAATAGAGAAACGACCCTAGATAACTCGAAATAAAATGGAGACAAGAGATGAAGGTCAGGCGCGAGAAGAGACAGCAGGAAGTGCGCGAGCAGAGCCCGCAGGAGGTGCCGCGTTAGGCGGATTAGGAGGCATGATTCCATTGATACTTTTTTTTGCAGGAGACACAGAGGGCCTCAAGGTCACCGATTTTTTTGAGTCTTTAGACGAAATCGCAAAATTAACGAGTTGGAGTAAGTCACAATGTTTAGGAATCGGGAAATTAAAATTAACGGGGATAGCCCGCGAGTTTGCATGGAAGGATGCAAAGATGCAGGAGGTGGTGACGTATGAGGAGTTTAAAAAACTCATGATTAAGAGATTTGATAGAGAGCCAATTTCTTTACGTTTACAAAAGTTCCATGCCTGTGTCCAAGGGCGAGACAAAGATGTACAAACCTATGCCGTGCGATTACAAACCCTGGTAAAGGATACGATGGTAGAACAACCTAGCATGGACGCGCAGAAAAGGGAAGTTATCAAAAAATGTCAACAAAAAGAGAGGGATGAAAGACTGCTGGTGTAATTTCTTAGTGGCTTAAATGAGCGTATAAAAAGACAAGTGATATCGCGAGATCCGGAGACATTCGATAAAGCGGTGCAAGCAGCCATCAGCGAAGAAACCATAGAACAATTGACTGCAAAATCACGAGCGATAGTCAGAAACATAAACAATCCTATCAATCCGAAAAGGGATCCTAGTGGAGCACATCAGAAGCAATTAGAGGAAACTTTAGCAGAAATTCAGGAGCAATTGAGACGATTAGGAACTCAGGAAAAAAGTCAGGGAAACCCTCCACGCAGAAACCCCATATCTTGGCGCCCCAGAGCTTATGGCGACCAATCACAATATTAACCCCGAGGACGACTGGACAACGACTCGCGAGGGCCCCGATATCTTTACAGGGATGGAACTAGAATCGAAAATAGAGATGCTGCATATGCTCCCCGAGATGGGACTAGGAATGTATCAAGGGGACCGAAAATCGAAAGAGCGCGAACAAATTCCCAGCCACCCAGGAAGCAGACATATGGTAGAATTAGCAAAGTAAATTGGTGGGAACGCGGAACACCATATCATAAATCGGCCAGACCCTTATGCTCTTCCCAAAGGGGTTATCCTGTATTATTCCGAGATTTCCGATCATCGACACTGAGAAACCCATATACTTTTTGAAGGGGAAGGTCTTTGATATTTAGAGGTAAAGGAGGAATCAGAGCACTAGGCCGGGATTCTGAACCAAATTTATTGTGTAAAATTGACGGATATACGGCTCGACTGGCTATAGATACTGGGTCTAAAGTCAGGCTTCTATCCCGATCATTAGTTCACAAGGTTGCTGGCGTAGAACTTAACTGGAAAAAGGGAGAGATTTTGTTCCAAAGTGTTACGGGCCACGGAATAACCACCTACGAGACCATAAAGGTTCACTTTGATATGGGCCCTTTGCAATTTTCTCATTCGTGTTATGTCGTAAATGACCAGATTACACATCCATTTGATGGACTTCTAGAAAGAGATATTATAAAAACTCAACAGTTGACGATTAATCTGGCAAGAAGAACATTAACCCTCCCAAAAAAGGAAGAAATTCCATTTCGGAAAAACTTTGATACCCACAAATCAAGTATTTTAAAGCCAGAAGAAAAAAACCGACCTTGTAAAGGCATCCAGAACCAGGCCAAAGGTTACTCGATTCTTAATAGGTCAACAACCAAAGTCACCCATAATCAAAAGAAAAATTCTAATTCCGAACAAACTCAAGATGTAATCTTATCGGCGGATTGTAATCTTCCCCTGAGATCCGAAATAATTACGATGGCCAATATATCTGGATTAAGACAAGAGGGCAAAATCGGAGTTATAGAATCCTATATTAGTAGCCAGGAGGGGGTTGTAGGAACAGATATCCTAGCAAAAACCATGAAGGGAGGACAAGTACCAGTCCATATAACTAACCTTTCCATTCAACCTAGGAAAATAGAGAAAGGCGAATGTGTTGGAACCTTTTTAAGAGCAGTAGAAGACAAATCTTCCATAAAGCCCTGCACTATCAATAAATCCTCTACTTCTGATCTTACCAGAGAACAATTCAGTCAATTATTCAATTGGTCCCATATCGGAAAAGGGAAAAAACAGCCTTTATTAAAAAACCTCTTGTACAAATATCGACATGTCTTTGCCACTCAAGATTATGATTTGGGGTATTGTCAAGTCGTGGAACACGAAATCAATACAGGAGATGCTTCTCTCATATACCAACTTCCATATCGAATCCCCTATGCTCAAAGAGAAAAGATAAATGAAATCATTGATGAATTATTAGATCATAGAATAATATCACACTCAAAATCCCCCTGGTCAGCACCTGCATTATTAGTCAAGAAAAAAAAACCCGGGGCTATGGCGCCTTGTCATAGATTATCGCAAGCTCAATAAAGTTACCAAGACTAACCCATATCCATTACCTTTAGTTCAGGAAGCCGTCAGTTTCATGGGACAAGCAAAATATTTTTCGACCATGGACACCCTTTCGGGGTTCTGGCAATTAGCCCTGAGAAATAAGGAAAAGTCCGCTTTTTCTAGCCTAGACAGTCATTATCAGTGGAATCGGATGTCAATGGGCCTTTGCGGGAGTCCTGCATCCTGGCAAAGGGCGGCAGACTTCATCCTTCATGGATTAAAAGGGAAAACTTGCCTCGTCTATATGGACGACATCTTGACTTTTAGTTCAGACTTTCAAACTCATCTCTCACGATTAGAACAAATTTTCAAACGTCTTGCCATTGCTGGCTTAAAACTAAAACGAAAGAAATGTCACTTCTTACAGCGACAAATTAAATTCTTCTGATGAAGGGATAAGACCGGATCCCGATAAAATCAATTGCGTATTAACTTTTCCCAAACCTACCAATAAACATGATATCAAGTTGTTCCTAGGTTTAACTGGATATTACCGGCGCCACATCAAATCCTATGCAGATATTGCAAAGCCATTGAAAGATCTCTTAAAAAATGACGCTCAATTCCAATGGGGAGAGGAGCAAGAGCGGAGTTTCGAAAGATTAAAAGAAGTCATTACTTCATCCCCACATTTAAAATCTGATTTCACTAAACCTTTTAAACTGGCTACAGATGCTTCTAACGAGGCTATAGGAGCTGTATTATCACAAGAGGACAAAAGAGGAGAAATGCCAATTGCTTACGCCAGTCGCATATTGAGGAAATCCGAAAAAAATTATAGCACTACTGAGAAGAAAATCCTAGCGGTTGTTTGGGCTACCAAATATTTCAAACCTTATTTATATGAAAGGAAATTCATTATTCTCATTGACCACAGACCCTTGAAATGGCTCATGAGCAACAAAGACTCTAGCACAAACTCTCGAATAGCTCGTTGGATTATATTTTTGCAAGAATTTGAGTTCGAAGTAAGGCATAAAGCGAGAGAATGTCATAAAAACGCCGACGCTTTAAGTCGTATTCCTATCCGACAAATCGTAGAGACTGAAGACGACCTTGACCCAATATACTCCAAAGCTCAAATCCAAGATCTACAAAGACGAAATCCAAAATGGAATCCTATAATTCAGCAACTAGAAGATGGAACCACTCTAGATCCAGATCTTAAGATACAATTCTTCCTAGATGAAGAAGGAGCTCTTTATCATTTACAACCTCTCAATCAAGGCGACTTTCTAGAACAATTAGTTATTCCATCAGTCCTGATTCCATACCTACTACATACTTATCATGATACTCCTGTCGGAGGATATTTGGGAGCACGAAAAATGCAACAAAAACTCCAGACCTTATTTTATTGGCAGAACATGAACAGAGACATAAAAACTCATTGCCAAGAATGTCAACGATGTGCTATACACAAACGAAAGGACAAACGAACAGAAGCTGAAATACAGTTATTCTCACCCCTCACACATTTATTTGAACGGACAGCTATGGACATTATCGGTCCTTTGCCTATTACAACCAATGGAAATAAATACATTTTAGTCTTTGTCGACCATTTTAGCCGATATGCAGAAGCGATACCTTTACCCAATATTCATAGCAAAACTATCGCCAAGGCCTTCGTTACCAACATCGTTTTACGCCATTCAACTCCTGTCCAACTTCTTACAGATCGAGCCCCAAATTTAATTTCCAAGATGTTCAAGGAAGTATGCGAATTGCTTCATATTAAGCTACTTCATACAACTGCTTATCACCCTGCATGTAATGGGGTAGTTGAAAGATTCAATAAAACTCTAGTTGATATTATCTCACACTACGTAGCCAAAGACCAAAAAAATTGGGATGAATGAATACCCTATGCTTTATTTGCATATAACACTACCGTCCACGCTTCTACGAATGACAGTCCATTCTTTCTGTTGTATGGACGAGACCCAATTTACCCCTTTGACCTTATAGCCCGTCCGACCCGAACTAAATACGATGTAGAAGATAACTTCGCATCGGAACTCCACCTGCGAATGGCCAGTGCCCATCAATTAGCACAAGAATACGCCGAAGCAGCAGCCAGAGAACGTCAAAAAATACATTGCCAAACTTATAAAATTCGTACATATCAGGTAGGCAATCGAGTCTTCCTTGTTGAGGTTGTCCTACCTCAAGGGTTAAAAAGAAAATTAGCACCCCGATGGTCCGGCCCATTTCGTATCATATCCAAATTAAGTCCTGTCACATTCCTTATTGAAAATATTTAAAGAAGAAACAACTAAAAGTTCATGCTCATAGATTGAAACATTGTACCGCTAGACAAGAATTCGAAATGTCAGAAAGTTTAGATCAATTTCCTACCCCAACATCCACACAACCTAAGGTATTATCCCGCCAACCTTCCCTAAGTGCAGACCGGTGGGACGAATTTATTCTCACCGAAATTCAACCACAACCAGAAACGGATCTAGAATCCAAAGAAGACGATCCCGAGAGTTAAGAAAGAATAATAGAATCCACCCCTAGAGAAGAACCAAGAGAACCTACTTCCTCCCATTCTTATGCATTACGCAGCCGGGGACCAGTGGAAGAACGTCCCTGGATTCTGCCGACGCCTAGACGAAGTCGAATTCCCAAACGAAAGGCTAGCCCGCCAAAGGAAGGAAATAGCGGTCAATCAAAAGTAACAAGACAGAGTTAATTAAGACCATAAACAAAATTAACAAAGGAGAGTAAAGAAGTTTACCTTTGACTAACTAATCCTAACATTAAATTCTGAATATGCTTAATAGGATTGTTAATCGCCCTTCTCTTTTTATCCAGAGTCTCAACGAGCAATCAACGAACTCCATTATGTCCGTAAATCGTTCCAGTTTCTTTCTCCAACCTATTTTCCTTATCTCCATAATCTGTACGCCTTCAACTGGACTGAGAGAAGAAGCCTATAATCTACAAAAAAGGGTTATCTTTGTGCATCAAGGAAATTTTTTCATGACAACCAATTATTGGATTCTTATTACTAATATCTCATTCGAACCATATAAAGAACAACTACATTTTTTGAAACGACACTTACGACTTTTAATTACTCTAGTGCAACGACAAGTGCAAACCCCAGAACAAGAGAATCTCGCAGCCCCGCAATGGACATTATCAGCCAATGAACTCACCTTATTACAAACCACCTTAAATGAATACGAAGCCAAATATATAGAATTAAAAACCTTAGTCACCCTCAACAATCCCTCCCTTAGGAAAAAACGAGGTTTAATCAATGCTAGAGGCAAACTCTTAAAATATTTATTTGGAACCGCTACTTTAGAAGATATTGAGATTCTTAATAGTAAGATAGCTCAGTTAACAGAATCCACCGATGAATTCATTCATCTTCTTCAATCACAAGCTACCTTACTTAATGACACTCTCCGTATTACTAAAACCAATCGCCGACACATCTATTTATTAATGAAAAAACAAGCTCTACTAGAAGAAACCCTAATGCAACAACAACATTATCTTACCTTTGAAGCAGGCGTGCGATCTACCGAGTTTGCTGTTAGAGAATTTCGGACTCTATTACTCGAAATAAGGAACGCCATTGAAACATTAGAACAAGGTCGACGTAGCACTTACTTCCAACCTAAAGAAACGTTATTAAACACCCTACGGGAAATTCAGCTCCAGTTACCTGAGGGATATCCTTTCTTAGAAAACCCAAGCCAAGAGAGATTCTATTTTTAAATTTTATCAGTGGACCTCTATCACTGCCGTAGCATTACCCAACTTGTTACGTATTTTTGCCAAGATCCCTCTCATTACTCCGAATGGATACTTTGACGTATACGACATCATTCGAATTCCCGTATACTACCCAATGATCAACTCTTTCGTCTACTACAACAATTCATATCCAATCATTGCCTTATCCAGGGATCGACAATCTTATATGTTATTATCATACTATGACTTAACAAGATGCCAAACAACACCTATTGCCATCTGTACCCCAAATGTTCCAATCTGGCAATCAGTGCAACAAAGCTGTGAATATTCATTATTCCTGGGAAATAAAAAAACTATTAATCTTCTATGTCCTAGACGACTGATAAAATCTTACGCACCCATTTTTCGTCGAATTGACAATCAAGGAACCTGGGCCTACTCTATATCCACTTCAATGATCCTCACAGTTAGATGTCCCTTCGACCAAGAAAAGAGAACCTCGGTCACGATCACCAACATAAATGTCACTGGTATTATAACGCTTCCTGAAACTTGTGTGGGATACCTTCCGAGAATTATTTTAACATCCCATTTCCAACGACAGACCGTCCTTAAGATCGAGAATCTACAACATTTTATTATTCCCTCTATTGATAATATCATCAATCAGACCGAGCTGAAATTAATTCACACTCGCCTCACCCAGAACTAACTTCCCATCTCTACTCCCCACATACAAACAGATGCTGATATCATGCAAGCTGACCAATCCTTACACAAAATGGGATTCGACTTAGAACAACTTCTCACCACCCAGCATAATCCCACTTATTCTCCTCATATCCAGCAGTCATCTCCTTTCCTCATCTGGACATCTGTCATCACCATTTTGGGAGTAGTAAATCTCCTTATAACTCTGTATTTGTGTTATCAACACATCCAATTAAGACAACACGCTTTTCCTCCAAAAGTAAGGGAATATGACCTTGAGATCACCACGCGAGACTCCATACATCCATCAACGCCAATAGAACCTCGGACCCCCATTCTTATGTAAACATGAATAATGAATAAAATCAATAGCTACATCATACCCTTTCTCTAGATTCCACACCTGACTAAGTCTATATAAGTAGGTAACACTTCTTCCAGTCCAAAGTACCTATTATTTTCTTCTTCTTTACAGAACACACTCACAACTCATATGGATTCTGCCTTGGCCACTCTTCTCAATTGTCCTATATGCTATTCGCCTATGAAACTACCAATATATCAATTTACCAATGGACACATGGTTTGTTCAGAATGCCGACCTCGTATTACTCAGTGTCATACCTGTCGAGAACCATTGGGAGATATTCGCAATTTAATGGCAGAACAACTTCTCCAGACCATTCAAATTCCATGTATGTTCCAAACCTTTAGATGTCCCGAAGTTTTACCCTAAACCAATTGACCCGAAGAGCGCACGAAACAAATTGTTCCTTTAAACCCATTCCCTGCCCTTTCCAAGAGGCAGCGTGTCCCTGGGAAGGACCTCGACCTCAAATCTATACTCACATAATCTCTAGCCATCCCCAGGTCATTACCGTAACCCGGGATAATATATATTTCATAGGAATAGATACCCACATTAAAGAAGGTACCTGGGCTGCCATCTTGGACTACCAATCCCAAAAATTTCTTATCATTGTTAAAAAGCATTAATCCGCTCTTCCTTTTTTTACCATAAAAGTTATGTTTCTAGAAAAGCCCCTTCTCGACACTTCATTTTGTTATATTATTAAATTCAAAAGAGGCAACCACAGCTTTCGGTGGATTTCCACAGTCCAAGTAACGTACGGAGAACCTTCCATAACATCTACTCCCTGCTTTGAAATACCTCAAAATCTCATTCAAAATTTTGGCCATTACCGCAATTTTACATTTATTCTAAATGTTTTCCCCTTCCAGATGTCAGACGATAGAGAATGGCAAGACGAGGAATGGTGGAATTCAGCCTCACCCATACCCGACAATCCTCTGCCAACCCCACAGCCAGTTCGTAAGGAAGTGGATTCCGAGGCTCTAACTGCCCTCATCCAACTAGCAAGATCACAACTACAAAGATCGCAAACTCCAATGACCCTAATATTACCCATTAATTACAATTGTCCCCCTCATCTTGAACAAGAACTCCAAGAATTAAATCAAAATTTAACCTCACAAGGGCTATCTGAAATCCAGCCTCATGCCTCACAAATGCCCTTATTTACATCCCCCCTCTCACCCAACCCAACTCACAACCACCACGCAACCAGACTCGCCAATCTTAATAACCCCATCTAAGGTGATTCACATATATATTCAATTTTTATAATCAATACACAACTTCATATTACCACATATAACCTTGTATAATCATATTATATTGTAAATTAATAACTAATTCCTTGTATTCAGACTTTTGTATTCAATTCCCATCTTTTAATCAAAAAATAATTTTATTTACTCAATACACTTGTGCGTCATTAAGATTTATTTACCACGTAACCACACCGAGAAAGATAGAGTAAATTATAAATCCATTAAATCTCTGTGTATCGCAAAAAAAAATATTGTCGGAAATAATTAATTGGAATGATAACCATATCATAACTATAATCATATCAATGTCAGAAATAATTCGCGTTAGTATTGTTTACTCAGAGAAAGAGAGAGAGAGACTTTTAAATATTATATGTTCAAAGATGGGTCCTTATCAGTTTCTTAAGTCGGACTTCATCGGATATCTCAAGAACCTACCTACGTCCTCTACCTTCCATTGAAACTTCAGCTCATTAAAATCGATCTTGCTCACTCAAAACAAGCCCGATTTTGGAAAGGCCGGGGTGATGTGAGGGCCAAACAAAACCTTTCTAAAGTGTTATTTTAAATTTTAATTATTGGAAACTTTAATCGGTTAAATTCGAACGTTTTAACGAGTTAGGCTAAAAGCCATAAAAATTATTTCTCACGGAGTTTGTTCCTTGTTGAGTCGGATCCAGTTATTCAGGGATGTGTCACCACGAACTTTCGATGGAGAGCCCATATTGGACGCCAGACCCTTAATAAGAACCACCTGACCTGATGGAAAAAACCCAAGAGGAATTACAAAGACAAAACAGAAAAACCCAAGAAGTCAGTCGTCATCCAAAGTCCGCTACAAGAATTAAGATCGTGACCCAGGATTAAGATCGTGCCTGGTTAAACCTCTACACTCCTCCGTGCCTCCACACCAGTGAACAGACAAGATTCTGAACGAGTGGAAAGAACATTTCATCGACAAGGTATTTATCACCCCGCAGATCAATTGTAAATTCTCTCTCTCGACAGGCCTATATTAAATAGGGAAACTATGACCGAAATTGACTCTTTCTGTATTTTCTTTAGTTTTATTAAATTTGTTATTTGTTAGAAAATATGGAGTCCGAGTGAGTCACTTCCTCGTCTCTCCCCTCACCTCTACTCCGAATCCAACCGCACACCCTCTACCGCTCACGTGACGAAAAGTCGCGATTTCCGAGTCCTGCGAGACTCGGTGGTGTCACATCCTGACGTAGTGTCAAAGAGACACCGACCCTACGGTCACATAAGTAGTATAGAAAGGATGCATTCTGGGGTACAAAAATTAATTAGTATATAAATTTAATATAAAAAAATTTTTTTTGTAAATAATTTTTTTTTCAATATTAGAAATTTTTTTTTGAATTATATCGAAATAAAGACCGATACAGTATAGATTATATTTTAATTTGT